ATGTGTTGCGATAAAATTGATTTATTCCAGGTTCTTCACAAACGCAATTACTCTGACATTATTTGCAATGCCATTGCAACCCCAAAACATATCCGAGACAAAGCTTCCACTAATTTTCTGCAGGCAAATGTTTCCCCGGGTGACAAAACCATAAATTGTCAACATAAACTACTTCGGTGTAATCTCTTTGTGCATGCATGGGGGGGGGGGGGGGGGGGGGGCTGTGATTGTCACTTTTGGTTTGTGACAGTTTTTGTCAGTGGGTTGCACTGTATTCAAGTTCAATAATTCGAGTTCAGAGTAATTATTGAGCGTCTATGTCTATGACAGATGAGCGTTAATCCTTTAAACGGAGAAATTGGATTTGATAAGTAACACGAAATGTGCTTTCATGACAGACAAAAAGGTGCTTCTGTGACCATAAACAATAGGCGATCTAAAAAGAGGCATGGTACGTGCAAGCAACGTCAGACTGCAAGGTCTGGAGAGGCTCACTTCTAGTAGTGGATTGGCAAAATAGGCCTTACATCGTGATGTCATGTGACATGCAAGGCATGATGGGAGGACAGAGCTTTGATCAAAATACTTTAGTCAATAACACTGCCTTAAAATAAAATAAAAATATATATAAAACAGGTGATATTCTTAGTTTTTTCGGTAAAGTCACGTTGAAGAGAAACAACAAAATAATAAAATATATATAAAACAATAAAAAAATTCTCACGACGTTTCGACCATAACTCAAACGGTCATCTTCATTGTTTTATATATTTTATTATTTTGTTGTTTCTCTTCAACGTGACTTTACCGAAAAAACTAAGAATATGAATTACTGCAGTCACGAAAGCTTTAAATCAAAACAGGTGATGTTAGGGCAATTACCTTTTTTCATGTGCTTGAAGGGCAATGGCTTGAATTGTCAGCTTTTATTTCTTCTTTTAAGGCCAAGGTGTTTTTGATGAAAAAGTTGAACTGTTTTGTTAATTGTGCTTGTGCACCACTGCCAACGCAGCGTCGCCAAAAAAAATGCTTCATTGTCACAGCAATGTCCCATTCGCCATGTCTGGAAATCACCGTGTGTGTGTGTTGTATTTGCATTACTAATGAGTTACTGGTCATTTACGGAAAGAGTCAGAATTGATTCGTTCACTCCAGCTTAACTCTTCAACCAGCTGATTTCAACTGCATGCCTTTCATCTACACTCACTATTGTGTAATGAGTTCATATAGGTATCTAACTTACATTAACACAGTATAAAAACATCAAAGTTGACATTCCTAAAATATAATGGATATATACAGACAATGGAAAAACTGTGCAAGGATGACTTTCTGATGAAAGATAAAGAGAACAAATAAAGTCCAAGCTTGCTGATGAAAAATATTAATCTTGAATACCAATCATCTGAAAATATTTCACCCTAAAATTTCCAATTTCTTTGACATTTAAATCATGTGGTAATGCTGATATGGCAACAAATGCTCTGTACATATGCATGTTTGGATTATTAACCATTTTCAAAGGGTATAATGATAACCCATAAAATTATATACTACAAACTTAAGTCTCACTGGCTAAAAACTCCAACACAATGGGTAACATATTCTGAGGTAAACTATGACATCACCATGTGTGTGGAATGCAGCAATTAATTTAAATCATTTAACTAGATTCGTACCCAAAAAAATGTACCGTTTTTTTTCAAGGGAGACCTTTATAATTGCATTTATATACGAGGGGATACATTAATTTATTCATGACGTAGGTGTCGTGACATCACAGGATGTCACTGTGTCATGCCGGCCCTAGAGAGGCACGGCGTGCGGTGTAGCGACATCGCGGACACCACCATGATGTGGGTGCAGTACCGGCCCTAGAGGGGCTTGGTAAGCGCTGATCGATAGCGTTGGATGGCACCACGCTCTGCGTTGCAGTGCCGGCCCCTACAGGACAGGGTGTGGGAGTGCCGGCCATGGGAATGGGGTTACTAAGGGCCGTGGCACTCTGGTTGACCCGAGAGGACACGTGACCGGTTAAGTCTCCACGGGGGCCCCAAGTGGGGAGCTAGGGGTGGTCACGTGTCAGGGTCGAGATCCTGCTCGAGGATTCTAGAAGGTGGTCGTGGCTAAGGGCGGAGACAGCCACGCCACAGGGGATATAATCCGAGGGACGGGCTGCTGTTGCTCATCCTGAAGAAATCTACGTTGTACGTCCTACCGAGTCTCCAACACGTGGACCTGGACCCAAGCTGTGGTCCGGTTCGTTGTAGCTAGTTACGGTGTGCTTAGTGTAGTTATCCTGGTGGTCACCACCATAGGTTGTTATTCTGTAAATGGGCAGTTGCCCCGTGTGTTGGTGTTAATAAATGTATTGCCTCCAAGAGTACGTCTGCAACTCAGTTGAACTCACTACATAGGTATGCGCTATTTTAAAATGTTGTCTGTGAAACCTGCACACACTGGCTTAAGTCTGGGGAATTATATGGCAGGAACGTTAATGTTTATTGACAGTAATCAAGGCATCTTGGTAATTCACCACAACATAACAGGTAGTAAGAATCATCTAAAGAATAACAGTTTGTATTTTGAAGGACAACACTACGCAAATAGTTTTCTCAGAAATATTTTGTATTATGACCAACAGATAATGGTGTCACTGATTTTGATTCAAATTGGCCATGTAATATATAGTTATACAGTATGCAGAATGTTTCAGTCCTTGGTCCATCTGCTATTAAATCAAGGCCTCCTCCATATTGTGTCGGTGATGGGTTTGTTTAACCATACTTCACCGCACTGGTCAGGGAAGGTTGGTGAAAAGAGAATGACCTATGAAATGGTTCAGAGATCACACTATTAATGTTAGCTGTAGAGAAGAATCTAACTCAAGTAAATGGATTCATCATGCAGGGAAACTAACCGCTGAAACACTAATTTCAGAATCAGAATATTAATTTATAGTGGAGGAATCCGATGAGCTATAAAGCTCTTTTTACATATGTCCATTAGGGGTGGGTCAGAACGTGCCAACAAACACTACAAAACACAAGCGGAGTGTACAGTATAGGAGAGGAAAGCACATTACTTAAAAAATATAAAAAACTAAACTATTTTTATCTTACTAGTCAAAACCCACTGAGCTATTAGATTATTTTTCAGATCCATCTGGCCACAAATTATAGCTCAACGAAGTGGCATATCATGTGGAAATTTATAGTAGCAAAATAATCTAAATATTCTCAAGGCATGTTTCTAAATATGGAGAGAAAAACCAGAGGACCTGGAGAAAAAATACACACTGTTCGTGTGTTAAAAAACACGATAAAACATGTTGGCAAATAGTTCCTGCTTGCCAAGCAGTCTGCATTTGAAATGCACGTGTTAAGAAATTGCACTTCACATTGGCAGAGTTCATGATTTGTACACCACATTGGAGAGCGGTATACTTGGCACAGGATATAAATGTACAATAACGCAAGAGACGATACTGTACAAGGGCTTGAAAAAAACAGGCAAGAGCTGCACTCGTCACACACAAAGTGCTTGCCACAAATGAACCACAAATGAACCACAATACCTTGTGATCTCGTCAAGGAGCATAAACCATCATCACGTAAACTCTGGTCACGCCCCCCACAGTGGCTTTTGGCTAGCCATCGAACAAAAAAGATCACTGCATCGCACGCTTTCAGATGCGCTTCTGCGGCCAACTGGAATGCTCTTCCTTCCGATATTAAGAAGCCACTGGAGCTATGCACTTTGATATCTAGATTTAAAACTCATTTCTTTAGAACTGCTTTTGGTGTTTAGTTTGTTGTCCTTCACGCACATCCCCGATCAGCATGGTTAGCTACGCTACGGTGCGAAAGAAGTTCAACATTCATACCTATATGCACAAAAAGGAGAGGTGCAAAGAAAATTCTAACCTTTTTCAAGTATGATCATAGCTTCTAAACAAAGCAGCTGTTTGAACATGTTTTTTAAATATAAAATTGGCAAGGGCTTTCAGCGAGTAAACTTTTGGCCCTCACCACATACCATTACCCCATGTTTGTGAAATCCACCACCCCGACACATCGCGAACAACATTTTACACCGTACCGGTAATGCAGAGTACGAGCATTACTGAGCAACACACATTGCCATGCCGGATGGCTTCCAACACTGCCATTATAAAAACTGACAAGCGAATATTGAGAAAATGTGCTGTGCTATTAATTTTGAAGCTGCAGTTTATCAACTGTGTTGAAGAAAATTCTCACGTTGGATGAAACATATAACACATTTTCTGTAATGGAATATTATATTTTAGAAGACATTATAAAGGCAGCCACATGTACCTGCTCAAAAACAATGTCCAAGATGCCAAAATGTTGTAACAAAAAATGTTTGAGTGTAAATCACTTCTCCCATACAAGTATGCTCTTTACAACTTGCCGACAGGTTTGATTTTCAACAATTATTTTACAATCCGCAGGTTCAAATACTCAGAGAACTATACATTTTTTTTTTTTTTACACTCGGGTAGCTGGATACAAGGATAGAATTCAAAGTCAAATGTATTTTCAGGTAATTTCTCCAGTAGATATCCTATATTGCTCTCCCTTTGGGCTAGGTACTCGGTGTTCTGAAAATATATTAGCATATAAACGTTACTTGAGAATTCATTTTTAATTCCCCCTGTATTGGAGGTAAAAGAACACACTGTTTCATTGCTGAGCAATGAACCAGGTTTTCACACGGGAGTGCATGTAAATGCGTTTTACCAACAATTCCCCAAGTGTACCAATGAACCACACATAAAAAGTATACATTCATGCATTGATGATAAAAAAAATTGCACTATTAAAAAAAAAAATACTCAACACGTTCATCAATAATAATAATAATGTCTTAAAGGAACATATATATAATAGCTGATGTTACGGGCAACTGCCCTTCTTCACAGCATATGTTAAAAAAAACAGGGTGTTTACTGCCTTCGTATCCATGAAACGTACCTTGACTGTATGGCAAGGTAGATGGTGCGACGGAAAGAAACCAGGTTTGTTTCTGTTTGGTCCAAAATTGTCATCTTTTGTTTCTCTGCAAGCGCAAAGGCAAGGTTGGTATTCACTTCAGGCATCATGGACACACAGTATAAACCAAAACATTTTTTTATCAACATTTCTCTATAATAAGACGCTTTTGGGTTAGATCGTGGCATGTTTGTTTACATGACAAACCTTACTAATTGGCTGTGTCGGGTGGTGGTGGGTTTAACGACACATTTATATTTACGCGATCTAACCCACAGACCTCTATCATGGATAATATTGGTCGCGAAAGCCTAACTGTTAAACATTTGTTAAGAAAAGATACACGCTTCTTGCGATTTCAAAGACAGGTGCTCAAATAAAGTCGAAGTCCTTCTGTGCTCAAATGAGCACCGAGGCAAAATTGCACATACCTATGGCGGGGATGAAAATATCCATAAGACACCCACTATTAACTTCCCCACAAAGTGGTACTCAATTCGACTCCAGAGGGATGATGGGCTTAATCAACCCGCAACCAAGGTTTGCACTCGCAATCAAGGTTCGAACTCGCAACCTTCCGAGCCACCTGCCCGGATTCCCAGGTTGCTCTCAGCAGCTGTTGTAATTTGCAAGGTCGGTTACAATCAAACAAGGCAACTGGCTGCTGTGAGTGCAGGTGTCTTGTTCACTCACCTGCTTCCTCTTCATCCTCTTCTTCATCGTCGCTGTCACTACCTTCCCCCTCCCCGCTCTCGCCTTCCCCGCTGCTGCCTTCATCCAATATTTCTGTGCAGTGATTAAATGAAGCGAGTACATTACAGTATGTGCACATGGTCTGAAGCAGTTGTTTCTCAAACTTGTTTGGGCCGCGGACCGCTCAGCCGATGCAAACATTTCCACGGACCACATCAACCAGAGCCAGCCCACCCCTGGTGACAAAACGCATTCACTTCTCTCTCTAAACACCAGTAATACAAAATGATTCATATTACCGGAATAACAAAAAAACGTAGACTTTTTTCTTTAGGGTTGGCATTTAGATCATACTAGTGGGAAGTACCTGGCATTGCCCGGGGGAAAAATATATTTCAAAACTTCTCTTAAAAATATAACACATGCATACACAAATACTAAGCTATTGTGAAAGCCCGGCGTGCCGTTTGTTTGTCCATTTGTCTGTCAACAAAATTATAAGAGGCTTGCAGAAGTCCAAAAAATTATAGAAAGTGGGGGGTAAATAGTTAATCTAAAAGGTTTCCAAAAATTGTCGACCCCACCCCCACAAAAAATATTTTTATCCCCGCATAGGCATATATACCTACACACCCTACATACAAGAGAGTGAGTAGTATCTAATGACTCTACAGTAGTACCTGACTTTACAATAGTATTGGCTCTACAGTAGTATCTGCTGACTCTGTAGTTGTATCTACTGACTGTACAGTAGTATTTATGGAGCCCAGTAGTAGATACTGACTGCGTAGTAGTATCTACTGACTGTAGCAGTCACTACTGACCGTAGTAGTATCTACTGACCCTACAGTAGTATCTACCGACTCTATAGTAGTAACTACTAACTGTATAGTAGTATCTGCTGAATCTATAGCAGTATCTGCTGACTACAGCGGTATCCGCTGACTCTATAGTCGTATCTGCTGCCTCTATAGCAGTATTTACTGACTCTATAGCAGTATTTACTGACTCTATAGTAGTATCCACTGACTCTACAGCAGTATATACTGACTGTAGTATCTACTGACGATACAGTATCTTGACTCTATAGTAGTATCCACTGACTATAGTAGTAACTAACTCTATAGTAGTAACTTCTGACTCAATAGCAGTATCTGCTGACTCAATAGCAGTATCTGCTGACTCAATTATCATATCTACTGACCCTGCAGCAGTATATACTGACTACAGTGGTATCTACAGACTGTAGTATTATATACCGACTCTATAGTAGTATCTACTGACTATAGTCGTAACTACTAATTCGATAGTATTTGCTGACTCTAAAGAAGTATATGCTTACTCTATAGCAGTATATTACTGACTCTAAATTAGCATCTACCGACTCTGCAGTAGTATCTCCCGACTCTACAGTAGTGTCTACCAACTCTACAGTAGAATCTACCTACTCTATAGCCATATGTACCGACTCTATAATAGTGTCTATCGACTCTATAGCAGTTAAATACTAACTTAACAGTGGTGAGGCCTAGTCCCGTGCACAGCCCCCGGCCTCGCCTAGCTTGTCTAGATTGCCCAGCTGGCCAAGGTGGCGCCTTGGCCGGCTGGGGCTGGGCCGCTACTCCCCCCACCATCCCCCCGCCCCACTACAGTAGTAGTATCTACGGACTATTGTAGTCTTATCTATCGACTCTATAGTAGTAACTGCACACATTGGGGTGGGAGGGGGGGAAAAGAGGACATCACACTTGGAAGAATTTACCTCAGCGTCGTGTATTTTTGTTGCATTTTTAACACAAATGAGAATTTCCCCCCCCCCCCCGCCCCCACCGAGTCAGCGTTCCCGCACATGCGCAGGTGCGTGCTCTGACGCCACCCTGTGCTTATAAAATAAATAAATTGTTAATTTAACTACTTTAAAGTTGACCGATGGGAAACAAGAATAGCGCTTTTCCGTCCAGGGCATATCGCGTGGTATCTGTGTACTTTTTTTTGATACGTAAACCCCACAGTAAGTCAGTTAAAAACGTCACAAGGTAACCTGCACAGACAGACACCCAGACAGACAAAAATTACTTTTATAGATAAGGTGGTTAAGGGTAGTTTAATCAGGGTAGTTTACCTAACTTCATTTTTTTAATGAAATACCATGAGTAAAATATGAATGAATGTGCAAAACAAAAGGTATAAAGGTCATGAATTCCGGATCAAAATGCATTTGCATCAAACCCTCGCAGAACACCAGGGCGTCACAGACCACCAGTCGTCCCGGGAGACAACACTTTGAGAACCAGTGGGCTAAATTAGCCACACAGCAACAATTGTAGCGGTGACATGGCCTAACAGTCGTGTAGGTGTATTAGTCATGAAATAGAAACCATCGGCTTCACAGCGGGCGTTAAAGAATCCGTGAAGTTCTTTGCAAGAGTAGGCCCCATTTCGGGCCTGCGTCACATTCCAATTTGGCAAATTTGATAAATAGCCGGCAAAATGAAACAATGAGAATTATACGAAGCAATTATTGCCCTAAATTAGCAGGCCACAAAGCTTGGGCAATTGTTGGCACCGGTTCTGGCTGCCAACAGGCCAAACTGTGGTTTACCGTGCTTCCATTACAAAAGTGTGCACATTACAAATTGCACAACACTTGGGATGCAATTTTTGTGCAGAACGCGATATAAAATAACAATACGGAATCACCAAATCGCAAAAGGTGCAATGAACATTCACAATCAACGGCGAAAATAAAGCTCTAAATAAAAAGGTTCATGGGATTTATAAAAAATAAACCGGTCAATTAAGATGATTAAAAATAGAACGTTAAAAACATATACCAATATAATTCACTCTGTATAAATAACGAATTATACCAGTTTGTTTTTTATGACAAAGACAATTATTTAGGAATATTTTCAATCTTGTAATAATATCTAATATATTAAAACCCAAGTGCATTCAATAAACACTGGAGGTTGCATGTCTCCAAACACATTCAAGTAAATCTTGTAATAATATCTAATATATTAAAACCCAAGTGCATTCAATAAACACTGGAGGTTGCATGTCTCCAAACACATTCAAGTAAATATGTAGAGGGAAAAGATGGAAAAACTTAAGAGGATTGCATTACCTTTCTTGATGGCTTTGTATTTTTCTTCATTGTTCAAAAAATCTGGATCCAGCTTGAAAATATCTGTAATGACACCAATATGCAAAAAGCAAGTTAAGGTCAAAGTCATAATTATTCATCTGAAGACTCTTGGGTATATGTCATACAAGATTAATTGACTCACCTTCCAAACAAGCCTAAAATTAACTAATAAGTGGCAACTGATGACCAAACAAATTAGGAAGAATATTATAGTTGGGTGGAAACTAATTACATTTTAACTGGAATAGAAAAATAACAAAAAAAATTCAGTCATCTATATTCAGTCATCTCCATACCAATTTTGTACCAAAAATCACAAATAAATAATACAAGATCACAAATAAGTGTAACAATGATCAAGGTCAGCATATTGCCACATACTGTATCAAAACACGATATTCCATAGCAAGTTAAGTTTTACATGCACACATCACTTCAGGCGAGAGCTGTGTACACCTGAAGCAAGGAACACCTTAAAAATCAGCTAATTTTACCTAATTTCCATAATTACCTTCTAAGGGACTCTCAAAAGCCATCATTTTCATAATTAGCCTTATTGGAATACAATTAAAGTCATTAAAACAGAAATATTATTCCCCCACTTGATGTTTTTATAATGAAATTCTGTGGTATGCAATCAGCACTTTAAATGAGTCCAGCGAAGAATGTCTTTAAACTCAAGTTAAATTAAAATACTGCAACACGTGCAGCAGTCAGCATACGTTCAAAAACAAACTTTATTTTAAACCAAGATAAGGAATTTTTTAGTTACCTAATGCCTATAGCAATCGGGCAATGCCAAATCTGCCTACAGCAGGAATAGTGAAAACACGTTTTGTTACTTTGCTGGTCTGAGTGTATCGTGGCTTTCTTTGATTTTACACACTGTCTTTTTCTAAAGCCTGGTTTCGCATTTTCATTAACGATGATGTCTGTGTACATAAAACAGATACAAAGTCAAACAAGCATCTCGCCAAGTTAAAACAAAGGAAGTTTCTGATCCCCGATAGTAAATATTCCCGGTCAACCGTCTCCTTCCATTGGTCACAAGGATATGGCTGCTTGACAAAGCTGTATCCAGGGTGATTACTCCATGCAAGATCCGAGCTCTGGTGCTAAACATGGTTGGCCTTATGAGGAAGAATACTTTAGGCCCTACATACAACACTAGAGAATGAACCAAATCAGCATCAATGTACTTCATGTCATATCTTGTAAATTACACGGAGTTGAGGCTGTTAATTCTTAGATGGAAGGACTGCGAATGAAAGATTTGAAAAACACCACTGAAACCACTGTCAATCACAAATCAATTGTGGAACACAATGCATTGCGAGAGCAGTTACCGTAGAGCAACTAAGCCTCCCTGACGCCTGCCATTTCTGTGCAGCATGGAGATACCGATAACAAGGTAGCATTGCTTTGCACGCTGTTCAGTTTTTTAATCTTTGGAGCCACGATTTTATATTTCAAAATTGCTTTTCATTTTTTTTAGGGATCCTGAAAAAAATAAAAAACTCGTTATATGCGACACATGGGATATCTGCCCATATTACTCCCAAGGACAAGCTGCGACGCTTTCTGGCGCTTCCGCAAAAGGGGCCACCAAACTCCCACCCACGGACAACTGCTCACTTAAAAGGTCTTCAGAGTTGTAGTCATCCTCCAGCGGCAGCATGTGCGTGAACTGGTCATCCTCTTCCACAAGGTCCAGGCCTTCAGGGATCACCGGGTGGTCCTTGAAGCCATCCTTGCGGATGGCGAACATCACCTCAATCATGTACTGCACGCGCTTGTCGATCTGGGACTCGTGCAGAATGTTCCGCAGCCTCTCAAAGATCGCTGCAGAGCGAGAAGCACGGCAGATATTATTAACAGGGGTTTGTGACGGCAGTGTACGCGTGCAGGCTACCAATATGCAAACCATGCAATTTGTTAATTCTGTAGGTAAAGGTATGTATAAATAGTTCACATGTGTGTAGGTGTTGAGATGCCATATTTAAATGTAGTCTATTTGTTTCAAAGATGGAAACAAAATGGTGTAGACACCCACATATTTTCACATCCTAAACCAACAAGGAATTTTGTCTCAATTTACATCCATCTCTCAAGTCGTGCTAAAATGTGAAGAAAACATGCAGAAGCTTTGACAATGTAGAGATGTTTCCAGGGTGCGGCAAGAGTCAGAAACCATAGTAATTGCAGGACCATGCTGTGTATATTGTGGTTTGGCATGTGCAGGGCATAGATGGCCTCGACATTGACCCTTGAGGTCAATATCAACGAACCTCGTGCCAATTGATCTGTTTCTGTGGGGCATTTTAAGTCAGTCGTCCACACGACGACAAAACAAATAAATATTAATATACCAAGTTCGGTGTGTTAATACAATGCGATTTACATTCATATGACGTTTAAAATGCAACCGCATCTCCGGACACTTAATAGGAAAATAAATGAGTCTTAAATCTTGACCTGCCTGTCCAAGGGCACCGTCTAATATCTAAGATCACTGTAATACACCATGAAGAATGTTCCAGCATCCTGTGTGAAACGGACTGAAACGTGTCCAGGCACATGGCGCACGGTTCGAGCATCTGCTATAATTTACCGTACAGATGGCACCGCAACTACTGCCGCGCCCTGCACAATATACCGCAACATTAATTTAATGCATTTCAAAACAGGTTAATTGTACTGTGTGCCTTCACAATTAGTATATCGAGAAATGTTTTACATACGAGCCATTCAAAAACAAAAGATATGTAAGTACGCGCTAAGAGCTTGTAAAATGTCCAATGGCCATCAAAATGAAGGTACAATAGCACCCCCTAGTGGAGCATGTCTAAAACTGCAAGATTTGATTAAATGGTGTGTATTAAAGAGATTGTCAATTAAAGCAATTTGTCATTCCAGGCCGCTTACTACATGCTTGTGTTGTGAGCTTTTACAAATTGCCCCAAGCAAAAATGCGAAAAAGTAAAAGCATGCATACACGCATGACATTTGAAGAATTACCTTTTCAAAAGCTTCTGCAGTTTAAAATGTTGGAAAGCCAGTAGAGAGGGGATGTGCCTGGTGTTTGGCATTGTATATTGAACCATCCGACATTGTATAAGCAGCATATGAAATTAGTCCATTAATTCTTAATTCAACACAATGCAAAAATCAATACTTGCAATAGTTAGTTGGGTCTGATCGGAATTTCAGCCGAGCGAGCCAAAAAAAATATTTTCTACAACGCTTTTGCGCAAAAACAGTACATGTACATCGTGAAAAAAGTCCGTTACCAACTATTTAAATAAATAATGAAAACTGAAGTACTGCCAAGGGGAATTTTTGTGGCCCCAGGATAATGAATCAACCCAATACAATTTCCAAAGGTTAATTAAATTTAGTTTATTCCTGGTACTCGAGCAGCACCGGATGACTTGTTGGTGCCACCGTGTATGTGTGTCCTGACCGTTGATTCCCCGCGGTGAGACCTCTGTGAGCTTGAGACCACACTCCTTGAGGAAGCCAACAGCCACCTCCACGCTGTCATCCGTCGGCCGCTCCAGCAGCAGAGTGAGAATCTCCAGGGACAGCACTTCGTGCGCCTGTGCAACGAGAGCACGCACGCATGCAGTCACTCATGGGCGTCACGATGCCAATTAGCAGCAGCAACATGGGAATTAGTGTGACGTTAACAGAGAATGGTACGAGTTAGCGCTGCAGACAATTTGTGTCTAATGCAGATCGCTTAGGTTCTTGTATTTATTCGCCAAGTTTGAAAAATATTAGCTTTTTTTGACGTGGTGATATTATAACTGGCAACTCCTAATTAATCTTAACGTTGACGAGCACTCCCTGTGCATTTGAGCTGGACACACGGCCAGAGTGGAGCTTGACGTCGGTGTGACGCGCGAAATGGCTCAACGCTGTGGAACAAGGGTGACATCATCGCACAGATCCAAACACGGAGACTTGCCCGCCCGTGCGCCAGCCAGCCATCAATTCAGAAAGGTAGCAAAACTTTTTTTTATAGTATAGTATGAAATATGTAGCGGCAGTGTATAGTTATCATTGTAATATTAGCAGCGGGTACAATAGATATGTTGATATTTAATTATAGTCTCATATAAGTTTAGATTTTCAAAAGTCGGAATAAAAAAGTAAATGAGTACGCACGTCCATTAAATTCAAATTTTATTACAAAATTAACCTCCTGTTCAATTGTTATCTTATATTGTATTCATAACCATTCCATACCTTATTAAAAAATTTAAACAGAGAACAATTTATGTAAAATATCTCAAATTTAGCTAGTCAAAGCGCTAATTTATTATGGGGATGTTTTAATCAGATAATACAATGGAGCTTCATTGCCATTAAAACTACTACACCAGGTAATATTTAAACAGTGCAACTCATGCCAATGTTGAAACTTAAAACAATCTTCGTTTAAACATTGGTGTGATGGTGTAATGTTTTTAAAGCATGCTGCTTTGAGTCATGAGGTTCACAAAATGCTCACCTTAAAATTCATTTTAACAATACCCATCCCTTATGTTCTCAATAACAGACTGGGTGCATCTAAAGTAATACGTCAATATTGAATAAAAAAATAACAAATTACATACCACATTCTGGTTCACAAGGTGAGCAATGTACTTGCTTGTGGACAGGCAGAGTGGCTGTAAATAAGCAGAAACAGCCAGTTAGTGGAGAATATATTTCATTTCACTCTACATCATACATAATCATGACCTTCATACCCACGTATTATACAGCAATGGCAAACTTCATAGTGCTAGAAGATTCCAGTAAAACGATGTATTATTCAATACCATACAAAACCATGATTAATTTACCATAGTGCACATTATACAAATGAAACGAACTACAGCAGAGGTTTATGTAAATATCACAACGACTATTCTGCCAGACTAAAAAAAATGATAAAAGTAAATGGTTAAGAGTGAGAACAACCTTATTTAGCAATGTCAAGGAAAGATGACTATGGAAATTTGGACATGTTCTGAGACTGGGATGAAACCTACACTTGGTGAAGTGGAAAGAGTGGGTTCAAATATCGAGAAGAAAAAGGATTAAGAGATTGCATAAAGCAGAATTACTGGCTCAAAAGAACAGTGACAAAAAGTAGTTTTAATTCCCCATTGTAGCGAATGAACTGACAGAATAAACAAATTAAGACAATGAAAATAACCCAGCTATGAAGGACTTTGGCAGTTTCCAAATCTGCACGGATGATCATACCACGCATGATCACGTGACCCTGCTTCTCAGGAATAATTTGTTTGCAGAGACTCTCAATTCCATGCAGAATTGGCATGCAATGACCTCGGCTCAGTCAACATTCCCATCCGATCCCTGGCCTGGGGAATGGCTTGCCTTGTCGTTACGGCGGTATCCCTTGCGAAAGTTGAGTATGAGACGCCGTAGAATGAGCTCGCCAATCTGCGGAAACTTGGAGTTGATGATGGCGGTGAGCGCAGAGTAGACGTGTGTGAACGTTGGGGAGGCCATCTGTGCTTGGATCATGGAGCGTGACAACATACCACTGCAGGAGAGACAAAATAGGTAATCAAAACGTGTGCTCTCAGCAACACAATCCCAGCAGTGTAGATTCATGTATCCCACAATAGGAGACAATCTACAATTACTGTGATGGATGGACTGTACATTTAGTGGCACACGCCCGTACATGTACCTTGGGTTTGTTCAGAAAATGCACCTGCTTTTTTTTTTTTAAAACGTGGCAAAGGACAGTTTAGGCATCCGGAAGAAAGGCTTCACCATAATATTACCCAAGCAAAAACAAAATCCATTTATAAAAACATTGAAATTAAAACAAAACCTATAAATTCACACTAGTCATAGCCCTAAATCAATCCAATTAGGATGACAGAGCAGGCACATGTTCTATATACTTGTTTTATTAGTATTCTAGCGATGCTTGATTTGGAACCTATCCACTGCACATCGCCACACTTCAAGTGACAAATACATCTACCCCAATATGTACGCACGAATACTCGGCGGAATTACGTAAAGATGCAAAGATAGCAAATGGTTGAGGACCATATCATGACTTTATGATTTCTGGATACTGCACGCAAAAAAGTTCACCTTTAAGGGAACAAAAGTGTAAAAAGTTTTTTTTTATATATATACATAGAAAACTTAATGTTTCAAAAACATAAACTAGATTTGATGCTTTCGTGACTGCAGGAATTAATCTTTGTTTTTTTCGGTAAAGTCACGTAGAAATAAAAAAAGAAAATGACATAATATACGAACGTTTCGATTGCAACACAAGCAATCATCATCAGGTAGAGGAAACACATAACCACAGATATATATACAGACCTTAAGTAGGGGGAATTAACACAGATATACCAGGGTTCCAGAGAGACGGAACATCACACCAAATCAAACAGGGTTTAGCAAAATTTGGAAACTATATAAAGCAACACAGACGGTCGGTTAAAACACAATTAACGCATGGTTTGGTTGAATGCCGACCGTCTGTGTTGCTTTATATAGTTTCCAAATTTTGCTAAACCCTGCTTGATTTAGTGTGATGTTCCGTCTCTTCTGTATCCCCTGGTATATCTGTGTCAATTCCCCCTACTTAAGGTCTGTATATACATCTGTGTTTGTGTTTCCTCTACCTGATGATGATTGCTTGTGTTGCAATCGAAACGTCGTATATTATGTAATTTTATTTTTCTTATTTCAAAAACATGTTTGTAAAAAAAAACCTGACAATTCAAGGCTAAAGGGCAAGAGTTCTTACCGTCCCCGAACAATGTTCTCTTGCAACAGCTCCTTGATGATGTTGAAGATGTTTGAAACGTTTACTTTGTTGATCAAGCCATTTATTGATTTCTTCAGAGCTTCCCAGCTCATTCGCTGATACGCCAAACTTGGATAAACATAAACGGGAACACCACGTTAGTAAAAACGCAACACAAATTACATATTCCCATATCATCGGTGAACATAAATCACAAAACGTCTTACCAAAAAAGCCGACTTGTGTAAACTCCTACTGACTGGGATCACCTCACAAATCAAACTGAATTGAGCCATCAATGTATTATGTCTGGGTGGTTTACTTGGGCATGCCCAATGATGCAAGGAACTAGTCTTTAATACACATCATCCAATCAGAACATTTGAAATCAGGTGCCTGTACTGTAATGTGTATTTTATGCAAAAGTTGTAATTCGAGTGAAATTTCTATTTTCATTTTCGTTTGAAGTCGGCCAAATACTGGCCTGCTTATTTTTGTGTTTTATTTTACTGGATTAAATGAAGAATTAAATGTGAAGCCAAACATTCGTTTCGAGCAGCCACGGTTGGCCAAGGGAGGAGGGTAGGCATGGAATTGGAGCTGTGATGGGAAAAACAACCCCCACCACAAGTGCATGTTTAGTGAGAGACAAGAGATGAGACAGGCAGCGACGGAGGAAGAGATCGAGGGAGACAGTGACATAAATGCAAATAAACAAGACAGAGGGAGAAAGAAAGACACTCAGACAGTGGAAGACAGTAACAGACACGCCGTGAGACAGAAAGAGACACAGAGGGACAAAGACAGGGAGACAGACGAAAGGGGAAGGACAGGAAGATACTTTTCAGTTTAGAGAATACATTAAAACAATACGACTCAGCTTAGAATTCTGATTTGCAGAAGGAAAATAATCAAGTGCTATTTGGTACTCCTGCAACTTACAATAGAAAACACAAATAGTGCACGCTGCATCAAAGCAGTATGCAGTGTTAAAACAAAATCATCAATCCTCATGTGATAGTGCATACCTGCTCTTGTCTGCAATTTGCTCTTGCATCATGCGCAGCCTTGCAGGAGGAATGTATGCTCCCCCTGAGCGTGTCAGGATGGGATCCACTTCATCCTTCTTTTTCTTAGTTGGTGGCTCCTCTCCACCTGTTACCTCCCCGTCTGGCTCAATTCGTCCCCGCACTGTCTCCACTGCGTTTGCATCTCCCAACTCATGACCTCTCTCGGCCTCATCCTGGGTAGGAGATTTTCCTCGCTTCCTCCGCTCAACATCACGGTCTCTTCCTCTGTCCCTGTATCTGTCCCTGCCGCCATCTCTGTATCTGCCCTCGTCCTCAATCATATTCCTATTTCTGTCCCTATCTCTGTATCTGCCCTCGTCCTCATCCAAGTCCCTGTGTCTGTCCCTATCTCTGTCCTTGTTTCTGAATCCATCTCTTTCTCCATATCTGTCCTCATCGTCATGTCTATCTCTGTACCTTTCATCATCCCTCTCTCTGTCTCGATCTCGATTCCTGCCACGGTCCTTCTCTCTATCCCGGTCTCTACCTCCATCTCTATCTCTCTCCCTGTCCCTCACTCCATGTTCCCCATCTCTGTCTCTCTCCCCATCTCTCACCTCATTTTCATCCACACCACTATCCCCACCACTATCTCTGTACCGGTCCCAGTCTCTCTCTCGGTCCCCATCTTTTTCCTTACCCCCATGTCTATGTCTTTTCCTGTCCTTGCCCTTATCTCTTTCTATGCTTTTGACATTGTCCCCTTCCTCATTCATGTCTCCATCCTCATTCCTATCCTTGTTTCTCTTCCCACTGCCATTTTTGTCACTATTTTCTTTTCTCCGATCCACATCCATATCACTATCCTCGTCTTTATCACTGCTTCTCTCCCTGCCATGATCTCGGTCCCCTTTCCTGTTTCTGCCTCCTTCCCTCTTTCTGTACCTATCAGCCACACCTTCCTGACCTCTGCTATTGCTGCCATTCTTATCTTGATCACTGGTTCCATCCCCATAATTCGCCTTGTCTAAATCCCTATCCTTGCGTTTGTCCTTGGTGCCGTCCCTATCTTTGTGCTTGCTTCCATCATCATCAATGTCTCTTTCCCTACTCTTATCCAGCTCTCCATCCTCACTCGTACTACTGCTCTGGTCACTGTCACTGGATTCATCATGCTCCATATCTCTTTCCTTGCGTTTGTCCTTGGTCTTGTCACTGCTATTGTCATGCTTTGCTCTGCTGCTCCTCCTACCCTCTTCTCTGTCATCGCTCCTGTCCCCACTCCGGTCGTTCTCCTTTTCATGATCCTTGTCACGGTCACGACTTCGTTCTCTGTAAAAGATGCACATGGGCTTCGAATTAATGATCATACGATATGATTTACTTCCATACTAGTCTTACCAAAGACAATATAGTTTATGTTTGGAATATAAAGTGAGAATCTGCATGCATTTTATATTGCATTGCTTGTTAAATGCAAAACGTATATGTGTAACTATGACAGTAACATGTATGCATGGGGTGACTCCAACACGAATGTTATCCTGTATCCCATTCAAAGGCTTTAAAACCAATATACGGGTACATTGATGTCATACATGTATCGGCAACAGGTTGGATTTCTAATAATCGGGTTTACGTGGAGTAGAAAACACAACGCACACTTAATGTTCTAGAGTTGAGGTAGTAGAAGGGTGTAAAGAAATTAATGAATAGTACTTAATTTTCATATGCAAAACAAACATTTCCATACAGGGTGAACCATGAATATATACCCTTTGGTTCTATTCGGTAAAGTCACGTAAAAGTATAAAACAAAAATAATAATTGTTTTATACTTTTACGTGACTTTACCGAATAGAACCAAAGAGTATGGATCCTTGCAGTCACGAAAGCTTCAAATCTAGACGTGAATATATACCCCACTAAACAGGTAGTAATTAAACTTACAACTTAAAAGTATCTACATGTCTCCCACCAACCTCCATACACGCATTAAATATGCTAGCGCTCTCTTTGTGAGGAATGGAACCATCGCCTTCATAACATTCAAACATTTGTTGAGAATAAAGTAAAAGGGGTAATCATAAATCCGTGGAATATCTACAGATGGCTCACTCCGTACAACAAATGTCAGGAGCGTTCACGCACGTGCACATGAGCGCATTTTGATGCCAAGCCTTTAGTACCGAGCAAGTTCGACACTTAAGTTTCCTGACAAGCCGGTGTTTACGTGTCCTTATAATTAGAAGAAAAACAACCGCGCAATGGATATTAAGATAGTAACGATATTAAAGCAAAAAACACACGACATGAGCAACTTGCACGGTTTGATAAAATGGGCGCAAAAGACAAACTTGAACCTCCCCACGACTATACTTCGATATCGTAGGACTGGGCGATTTACAAACGGTTCACCAAGGGCTCTATCGTACTCTGAACGTGGCCGCGAACACCATAAATACACGAAGTGGGTTATTATAGTTGATTACATTACGTCAATTGCAACAACAAAGGGGGAATGTCAGTTTTTTTTTAAACCACACCCATCCTCGCCTAGTGCCCCCCCCTGCGGGAAGTGAAGGCAAGCCGGTACGTAAGCTAGGCAAGGCAGGATTCCCGTGGGGTGGGCCCAGTGCACTCACAACACAACGATTTAAAACGAATCATCAAAGCAACCGATACTTACTTGGACGACATTACGGGGTGCGTCACAGTGAACTATCCTCTCCAACAATCTTTAAACAAAAAAAAAGGAAACTTGCTAAAAGCAACGGAGTTCTGTATTCAAAGAGCCACGTTCTGGCGCGATGTGCAGCCTAGGCCGTGGATGGGGCAGCGTCGAAGTTGGAGGAAGGGGGCGGTCCCCACAAGGGACCGCGGCGAATTTTTTTCCGGAGATTGACTTTTCTGAGCCCCGACACAGGCAGTCCCCGGGTTACGGAAGGGTTAGGGGCCGTCCATAAATGACGTCACGCGATTTTGGCTGATTTTTTTACCCCCCCCTCGTCACACGGCGTCACAAAAAGTCAGACCCCCCCCCCCCTCAAATATGACGTCACAAAGCTCTGCGCCCCCCCCCCCCTAAACCGTTTTTTCCATTTTGAAAATAAAACATGCTTCAAATCACTTTAAACTATTGTCATTGTAGTGCGTATTTAATGTGGCGCTGCACTCTGATGTTGTAGGAGAAAACACGTTTTAAAAGGTGGCGTTGGAAAGCTAAAATTTAGCATAAAATGCACTTGAAAATATTTAACGTTTAACTAAACCTGCAGATGTTCAGAATATATTGAAATTCTCTCATAATTTTAAAATATTAAAAGTAATTCTAACTATTAAAACATACTTGAAACTTTGTAGTAGAACGAAGCAAAATGGAGAGTACAATCACATATTCATTCCACAGAATGAAAAGCCCTGGTAGAATTATTAAAATCAAAATGTTTAATAACAATCATTCAAAAATTACAAAATGTATGCTTCTCCATTCTCCCATGAAGCAAAATGCTCCTTCATGGAATAAATAAAAGGTGACCTTAGTAAACTTAAATAATCAAATAGTTAATAATGAAAATTAATCAAAATTTGTGTTGCTATAACAATAACATTTAATTAAGTAGAACGTGTTGTTAATTAAGTAGAACGTGTTGTTTATATTTAATGTTGCGCATTTTAATGTGACGTCACATTTCTCAAACCCTTCCCCTCCCCCCCTCGTCACACATCGTCACAAATGTCTGACCCCCCTCCCCCCCCTAGGTGCGTGACGTCATTTATGGACGGCCCCTTAGGATCCCGAGAACTAATTTTCCCTTTGTTGGAAAACTGAACCATTTCCCCCCCAAAAGCAAGAAAAAACCCTATAGTTGTACCTGCCCTACCCGATTACGAGTTAGTTTTCTCTCAATGTTGTAAGACGCTGCCGTCCGGTTTCTGTAACTACTGTACCTGTATCGTATTGCTGTACACACGCTCTGCACTTCCTATGATTCTTTTAATTCACAAAATATCGACTTAACACTACCCGTAATTAAACTAACATATACTGTTACCGATTGTTTATGATCAACCTGAAACATTTTTATATTCATTGTAAACAGAAAGCAGTCACTTCCGAATGTTCGTCTGGTGTGCATTAAGTTAGGCCTAGACTTTTTTCATCGCTATTTGCTGAGACCATAAGCAACCGTCTTTACGGAGTGTTTCCGTAAAGTCTGATTTCCGTAAGTCGGTTCTTCCGCAACCCGAGGACTTCCTATATACAGGGAGAACCTCTAATTACGAATGAGTCAGGTTCCAGAGGTCTCTTCGTAAGTCGATTTGTTAGTAAGTCCAACTTTCCTCCTGGTCCATTTCAAACATGTGCTGTGCGGCATGTACACTAAACACAGGGAATGGCTTTAAAAGTTGTATAATATCCTGTAGATGTAGTTGCCACTGGTTCTTCATGTTCTGCAGATGTAGATGCCACCACCGCCATCATCTACTGCGTGGCGGTTGAACTTACGACTCTCGGTCCGAACAGGACATAAAGGCGGGTTTGTTGGTATCTCTGAAAGTTCGTAAGTCGAATGTTCGTAAGTAGAGGAGTGTTATGCAACGTATCGGGCAATGGCTCTTCTTCATATCACATAAACAGAGTGATTAAGAGTTGGAGACTGCACTCTACGGCATGGAACCTGATAAAAATTTAACTTTTATATAGTTTCCTCATCAGTTTTTTTTTCATTTTGGGAGCTATGAAAGTAGGGCCATTACCCAAAACGTTGCCTGTTATATATTTTTCTTTCTAAGGCCACATTGTTATTGACGAATGTGGTGAGTTTTTGTTGTTGATGAGAAGGGAAAAAAGTTTATCTGAATGTAACAGGGTATACAATATACGAATGTATCATCACCTTGAGTGCCATCGTTTGGCAGATGCCACTTGTTGCAGAGGTTCACGGTATTAATTCAACAGGCCGCCCTGGTTTTTTTTATTTTTACTTCAGATGCGCTCCTGCGGCCGTCTGAAACGCGCGATGTTGATTCGAAATGTGGAGGGGAAAACCCGGAGAACCCGTAAAAACAAAAATCCACGCGACCACGGGGAGAGAGAGAGAGAGAGAAAGAGACACGTAAACTCCAAATATACAGCGGGCATCAGGGTCGGGATCGAACCCACAACCATCCTGTATACCAGGCGAGATAGTTGACATCTGTGAGAATAGTGCAACGAATTCAATGCACTCAATGGTCACCGTTATGAATTGCTGTGCATTGGCTCCTGCATATATGGTCGCCAACCTCTCTCGTGTGTATCGTTTTCAGTTCCTGTCCCAGCGGCAACAGTGACCGGGGAGCCGGTCGATTTGGACAATTTACAAACCATTAACCTTCCTCCACGTCACTCTCTATCATCAATGTCGGATTATTCTATTAGCAAAAGTAGCTACATATGTAGTCGCTACGGGGCCCGCACTTTCAAGGGCCCCGCGCTAAATGCTTTCAATCTCTAAATTCCGGTTCATTGATTCTGCACTTGCTCTATTACTATAGTACTATACCACCTTCAACTTTTATGAACGACTGGGTGTTTCAGGTTAGCGATTTGTCGTATTATCTGGCTGTATAGCAAATGAAAAAATACAATTCCGTTAATATGAAAGTTAAAAATTTGTTTTAATATTTATGTGTGTTTTTATTTAGGGCCCCTTTATAACATATGTTACAGGCCCCGCACTAGCTTAATCCGGCACTGTCTATAATCCATCATCGTACGGCGGTGACTGCAGTGTTTAGTTTGTAGTCCTTGCCCCCTCCGGCATCCTCCGATTAGCACGGTTGACTACGTACGGTGCGAAAGAAGTTCAACATACACTGTAGAGGCAGCGAATGACGATGAAGGCAGTGACGGACGGTGCTTATCATCGCGATTATCATCATCACTCGCCCATCATCATTATCATCATCATAATTCCTGTTATATGCAAATAGCCGTGCACGTGATGAGCATCACGTATTACTGTTGTATTCTTCTTATTTGCAAAATCACGTGCGTATGTTGAACTTCTTTCGCACCGTACGTGGCCAACCGCGCCCATCGGAGGTGCTAAAAAAAGAGCCCCAGTAGACGTTGGCCCAACGTTGCATGTTCACTAAGAGGAAGTCTGATTTGTGAAAAAGGGGGAAGAATCGTACATCTGCCAGGGCCTGGCAGGGATGGGTTAATAGCAAAACTGCGATAAACCTGCTATTAACCTGCTCAAGTTAATATCAGTTTGCTGTGTGGAATATGAAATGTGCAGGTTTGCAGTGACAGCAGATACTGCAGTTAACTGTGATTCGACCAACAATCGTTACAAAGCCACGACAAATGCATTGGCATTATTATTATTATTTTAAAATGCAGACGTCAAAGTGGTTCGTTGATAAGATGTGGTCGGGATTGGCAAATTACACACTCAGCACGTCTCATCGGTGGCAGCCGACATGCAAACTCGCACTCATCCTATACGGCCATCAAGTTATTCCAGTGGGGGGGGGAGCAGATTTGACACGATCAATTGTATGCCTGTTAAAGCTAAACGAGGGCCACTGTAGAAAGACGTCACAAATGAACAGTGGCCCTTTTAACATTCACGTGATTGATCCACGCAGGCGTGAGACGATATTTCCTCGGGGCTGTGGTGGAACGGCACGGGGAGGGGCAGGCAGTTTGGAGGCATTTTTCCATTGCTCGCAGTGTGATGGCTCCACTTCAACAACAAGGACACACTGCCCGTTTGTAATGGGTGCAAGCAGTGCCGAATTAAGCTCGTGCGGGGCCCTAAATTAAAAAAAAACGTAATTATTAAAACACAAATTTTTAAACTTGCATAATAAAGTAATTGTATTTTTTTCATTTTGCTATACAGGCAGATAATACGACAAATCGCTAACCTTAAACACTCAGTCGTTCATAAACGTTGAAGGCGGTATAGTACTATAGTAATCGAGCAAGTGCAGAATCACTGAACCGGAATTGATAGCTTGAAAGCGTTTAGCGCGGGGCCCTTCAAAGTGCGGAGCCCGTAGCAACATATGTAGCTACTTTTGCTACTAAGATAATCCGACATTGGGTGCAACTGCGTCGAGCAACTGTGTTGACACAGTCACATTGGCAAATGTGATTTGTAACTTCGATCCTTACCTGTGTACCGATATTTAATTGACGGACTGTCTGCCGCTGCGTTATCTTGGTTGTGGTCCAGGACTGTTTTTTGGGGGTTTTGCTTCCTTGCCCAAGCTTGATCAAACGGGACTTAAAGAATCAATGAATGTATTAATTGGTTATTTATATATCGTCACATGTTTTCCCTTTTCTTTATTTTGCGCTCCGACAGTTTTTCTTTGTATTGTTTGCTGTTGTAACTTGCTGATCCGGTCCTTGCTGGAACGCCTGTGAAAAAGAGCTCCACAGCTCATCGGATTCCTCGAGTCTAAATAAAGATTCTGATTCTGGTGACAGCTTCACGTATTCCCCATCAGCATTCGCTGACTGATCAATTGTTCGCAAATTATAGTCCTCACACCTCTCCATGGTTCGTGTTTTTGTTTTAATCAGCCACCAGGTGTAAACGTTACATCTTTCCTTTTACACCAATGCAGTGGAAATATTTGTATCCGTGGCTCTATTACCCACCGTTCGCTTATTATCTGCGAGTGTGCAACACATCCTATTACCAATGCCCCTATTCTTCCTCTCATCTGCGGTTCATTGTACAGGGTGCTTTTAATTTTTGTAACACTTCTGAGAATTTGCAACAACACCACGTGACACGTGCTGCTGCCTCCGGGCTCTGGAGACCACCTGGAGAAGATTCCAGGCCACGTGTTGACAATGATGGCGAACAAATGGAGACTCTTTGACTTTTG